CTTTACTGGCCCCATTCCCGCCTCTTCGACCTGTTTGTTTCCTCTCCACCTATCCTCTCCTCTATCCATCTTCTATCCGCCTCCCGCTCTCTCCCTATTTATTTCAGAACCCCCTTCCCCTCCCCCTTTTCTGATGAAGGGTCTAGGCCCGAAACGTCAGCCTTTCTGCTCCTATGATGCTGCTTGGCCTGCTGTGTTCATCTAGCCCTGCACCTTGTTGTCCCTTAATATCTTTGCTGTAGAAAAAATTACCTCTATCAGATTTAAATTTAGCAACTGATCAGGCATCCAATGCCATTTATGGAAGAAGTTTTGAACAGTCTATCACCCGTTGTGTGCAGAAACACTCCCTGAACAGTCTGGCCCTAATTTCTAGAATAAAATCCCCAACCAGTGGAAATAGTTTATGTTTATCTACTCAGTCTTTTCCTGTTAATATCTTGAAACAGTGCAATCTCTCCTCATAATTTAACCTCTTAAATTCAGGTATCATTCTTGTAAACCTACAAGGTCAAACCCTGGAACTCCCTTCCTAACAGTACTGTGGGTCTGTGTACTACTCGTATTGCTGTAGTTCAAGAAAACAACTTACTAAGTGCAATTAATGATGGACAGAAACACCATTTGGATATTCTATGTTTAGAGTGCATTCTAACTATACCTTTTGTCAACCAGCTAACCAATTTGAATAGCTGTAACCCATGTTCACTATCAGGGTTACTGAGCACATACTCGGAACTGCACTGCAACTACACATGCTCAAGAGATGGATGGTTTTGGATTCTTGATGGTTATTGGATCTTCACTCATCCAGGCAAGTGGAGAGTATTCCATTGCTCTCCTGAATTTTGTCTTGTAGATCATGGACAGAAATTTCTTATTCATTCATGGTATGGGGGTGACTTAGCCATCTTTGATATGTCTAGTTGGTTGTTTTGGAGGTTTTCAAGGCAAATTTACATTCTGTCTCCATGTATTTTGAGCCCTGTTGCCATAAAGGGTACTGATTAATCAGTAAGCCGACTTTACCAACCCTTTTCAGCACCCTTTCTCGTGCAGTGTAAATTACTTTCTCTTTGAAATTTGGTATTCATTCATCTGATCTAATAAATTATTAACAAAAATCTCTGACAGCACAGCTGACTTTCATCACAATTAGAAATTACAGTTAGTCAGTCCTCTGGAATCTGCAAAACAAAAATCAGAAAATCCCAGAAATGTTCAACAAGTCAGGCAACATTAATGGAGAACAACATAATTCAGATTGGTGGATGATCAATATCAGAGCAATACCTAGATAAACTAGGTAATGAATAACTAGAACAAAATCCATCCGCAATATATATCCCATTTTCTTCTCTATAAATGTTCCTGACTTCTGAGAAGTTTTTCTGGAATATTTTATTTTTATTTCAGATTTCCAGTACCTTAAGAATTTTGCTTTTGCTCGAGAATCTCTATGTTGTGCTAAGGTCATAGAATTTCTAAAAATCAAATAAAGCGCATGAAGTCTTATACTTACTCGTATTCTGATGATCTGGGCAGTCCTTCTGAAAATGTTCTACTGAACCACACAGCTTGCAGCAACGGCCTGAAAAACAACACCATACGGTTGACGAATTCTGAAGTGCAACTGAACATATTTTGAATTTTCAAAATATGAATATGTTTTACAAAATATGCTCGAGCTATTGAAGCCAGTAAGAATGGAAATTGTGGATGGACTGTTCATAATTTTGCAGACTTCCTTGACATTCCATTAACCTTCCTCATAGCTTGCTGCACCTGCATGTTAGCCTTTGGTGATTTATCAACAAGGACAACCTAGGTTCCTTTGTACATCTACATTTTCCAACCTCTTACAACTTAAGAAATACTCCACGCATCTATTTTTCCTACCAAAGTGGATAAATTCATATTTTTCCACATTCTATCCCATCTGCCATATCCTTGCTCAATCAATAAGCCTGACCAAATCCTGCTGAAGCCACTTTATATCTTTCTCACAACACATATCCCCACTTTGCTTTGTATCACCCAAAAATTTGGAAATATTACATTTAAACCCCACCTCCAAATTGTTGACATGTATTGTGAACAGTTGGGGCTCCCAAATACCGTTTCTATGGTACCCCATTGTCTCAGATTGTCAATGAATGAACCAGTCATTCCTACTCTGTTTTCTGGCTGTTAACCAATCATTAATCCTTGCCTTTAGGTTTACGTCCTATCTCATGTGCTTCAATTTTCTAAACCAGCTCCTGTAGGGATTTCATTAAAAGACTTGAAAATTGTAGTATTCTATGTCCACCAATGCTTTTTCATCGATTTTGTTAGTAACATCTCGAGTCCAGTGACTGACTCGAAACGTTAACTCAACATTCTCTCCACGGATGCTGCCAGACCTACGGAGTTTCACCAGCAATTTTTACTTTGGATCTTCAGCATCCACAGATCTTTGCTTTATTTCATAGGTAATGATGAACTTGCACAAGATACTAGTTAGGTCGCAGTTTGAATATTTTGTTTAGTTCTATGTGGCTTACCCAGGAAGGATGTGAAGTCATTCAAAGGCCTGCAGAAGAGATTTACAAGAATGGTTCCAGGGATGTGAAATTTCTGTTACGAAGATATGATGGAGAAGTTGGAACTATTTTTCTTGAAAAAGGCAAGTCTAAGAGAAGATTTGTGATAAGTTTCCAAAATCATAAGGTGTCTACATAGGGAGAATGTGTTCCCACTTGTAAAAGGATCGAGAACAAGAGGGCATAGATTTAAAGTAATTTGCAAAAGAAGCAAATGCCATGTGAAAATATAACCTTTTCACTCAGCATTTCAGTGCAACTTCATGCTATAGAAAATCGTGCTATATGGGGCCTATGGGAAAAGCAGTGTTAGGGGCACAAAGGACGCAAGTATATTTTCCAAAATTCTTCCTCACCTGTCATTCTTCTTATAGCTTCATTCTTATAGCTGCAGTTATAATGACAGTTTATCAGACAGGTGATGCTGCAAAGAGGCAATACATTTATGAATCTGACCTTGCATTTGCAATGAAGTGACAGCTGGGCTTTAAATAAGAGTTCTGCCACTGGAAATCCCAGCAATGGTCAGTACTGCATGATAGTGTGAACGTGATCCAAAAGAGGTGAACAGTGCAAAATTGTGAGGTAGAGCTCACAGCCAGCCACTCTCCATGAAACTCCCCCAAAACTGACACATTGGCAATTTTAGATGTAATCTTGAACACCTGCCTGAAATAAGTGGAAGGTCATTGGAGTGGCCATCATCCAAAAGAGGTTAGTGCAAAATTGTGAGAGATAGAGCTCACAGCCAGCAACTCTCCATGAAACTCCCCCGAAATTGACATGTCAGCAATTTTTAGTAAAATTCCTTCCTTCATTTAAACATTGATCTGACCGGACATTCCATCGGCACAGATTTCTGGATAGATTTTCAGATAAGTGAAGCAGAGGAATCTGACCTTTCTTTCCTACATGGACCATTGGCCTGAAGTTACTTAGTAGGATTTAAATGCATTATAAAACTGAGTAACACTGCATTCAAAATAGTGCTGGAAAAGAGCAATCCATATTATCCATACTCAATGGAATCGCATTATAGCGAACACAAGTTTGCATTTTTCAAATACCGTTTCCCTATTCGTCAATCGAGTTACAGCCAATTCGCGTCGCTGGAACACCCACTGTATTAGTAAACTGTTACTGTGTCAAAACAAGGCACTTGATACCTTATTCTTGTGTTACCTTCTTCATTAAATTAGGTTACCCAAATGCCAATTCCAACATCACAGACTTCAAGTTGGATCTAATTGACAGTTATGACATTTTCATTCGTGGTTTAAAAGCACTATAACTATTGGCAAAAAATCTGGGCATAACTGAACAATTCTGACTCAGTATGTTCCAGGCTTGATCCTGGTACATGCCCGTAAGCTGGCGATACTTATATGAACTATAACTGGTTACAGGGTTTCTGATTACAGTTTCTCAGACCATTATCTCAACATCATGAAGACTCAATTGTGCTCAGTTACTCAGGGTGGAGGACCTAAACTAAGGCATAGATATGAAGCAAAACACTTGGCTACTTGGATGGGAAACTAAACGTTAGGTGCACAAGTATTAAGGAAATAAGAAAGCTGAAACAGGTGAACCAAGACAAGGTTGTAAAACAAAAGCTGGATATGAAAAGCAGACATTTCAGCAATGAGGAGAGGTCAGAGGAATTGGGGCTTATTTCAATCGAACGAAAAATTGATGAAGACCAAGCCACAGGATTTCAATGTATGAGCAGTTTTGAACTAGATACTTACATCTTTCATAAATTTTTCAATTTCCCTTGAGACAGAACAAGTAAAAGACTTGGTTTGATGCAATTTGTTAAATTGCTGTATTTCATAATAAGGTGAACATGCAGAGCTGGTGTTAAGAATAATGACAACCGCCATTTATATAACACCATGAACACAGTAAAATGCTCCAAAGAACAATTCTAACTGTGTGAAGTGACTGCAAAGAAGCTATTAGAGTAGGTGACCAAAAGCTTTGTAAAACAAGTTGCTTTCAAGTTTAATCTTAATGGAGGTGAGACAGATAAAGAACACATACTAAGTTCAATCTGTACTATTTATCTATATGTAACATGCAACACTATGTTAGTGTATGATCTTATTAACTAAAACAAGATGATTTCTAATTAACCTCCAGCAATTTATCATTTTTGCTTCAGCAAAATTTTTGCAGCTTTCTGTTTAACAAACATTACTGGCAAAAAGCCTCTGTGAATGTTTGTTTCTTACGTCTTACCATTGGTGTTCACACACAGAAAGGAAAGGTCGACAAAACACTCTGCCTGGGATCAGTGACTCTCCAAAGTGAGAGTCAATTATTAATTAACGACATAAGCTAATGAATTTCTCATTTTCCAGTGCATAGAGAAGCATTATCGAAGACTGCTCATGATCATCCTTTCCAGCTACTTTCTAACTCTGTCTGAATTTTAAAACATACACGCATACACAATGCTTTAAAACATGCCATTCAATGAAACTATTTTCACAAATCCTTTTGAGGAAAAATGGTTAAGTAATTTACATGATGATACAGCATATTTTAATGATGTAGCATCAGCCAGATAGGACTGGAAAAGACAACTATAACCTATCTCTACACATCTATATAAATTAGACGTAAATGTTGAGATTAACCCATGGTCCCATGTCCACCCCACAGAACAACAGCCCAAAAACAGTCAATATCATGGGAGGCAATAAAGAAATTTTGGGGGAGAAAGGTACTAAATTAAACCACAGAACTATAAAAGTTTGAAGAACAGTGCGTGGTTATGATCTTATTTAAACCTGTCATGGTTTGAGTGAAACCTACTGATGCAGTCATATGATAATCTGATTCTATTTTTCTTAACTAGAATAAACGTGACACAATTCCGTTCAAGCTATCTGCTATTTTTAAAATTATAAAACATGAACATCTTTTATTTAAATCTAGGTCTCATCTACATGAAAGAAAATTTAACTTTATGCTGGGAAGGTAGGGAAGAGAGTTGATCAAGGAAATGAAATTCTTGTGTTTAAGGATGTTTTTTGACATCTGAAATACTTGGATGGTTCAAATTAAATGTCTTATATATTCAACAGAGATCAGAAAGGGTCTCTTTTGTGCAATCACAGCAAGCTCTTTGAACCATACATAAACAGAATGGGGTTTGTGTTCTAAAACCTCACATATTGAAATCCACATACAAAGAGTAAACACAAAGTAGCAGTAATCTTCTACGGTTGAGCCCATAAGGAGCAATGGAATGGATCTCATGGATCAATGCAAATCATGAAGCATCTAATCTGATTAGGTGAAATGACTGCAGCTCCTAATCACTCTTTAGAAAAAGTGTGTTCATTCTAGTTCATTGACAGGAAGTAGTCAATCTTGGAACCATATGGTCAGATTAAGACAATGCTGAAAAACTGCAAAACTAGTGCAACTTCTTTGAAACCAGTTATTTGATTCTGTGTGAGGAATCAGAAATACCAAGTACAGCAATATGTTAACTGAAAGTAAATGTACTCTGTTGCCATTTCATCAAACTGAACAGTATTTCCATCGATGGACTCTTCATAGAGTGACACATCATTTTCAAAAATTTCATAATTTCAAATAACTTGAATGAAAACAAAGAAGATAAAATGATTTGAGTTATGTAACTTTAAATCAGAAGACTCGCTGATATCAAAGCTCAATCTGATATTTTCAGAATAGGAAATTCTGTTTGCTCTTACATTTCTAATGATGCACAGGTAGTGAAATGATTTTGTTTTAATGTGTTATAGGATGACAGTAGAGATTGACATAACAGGGAGACAATGGACTGGACTGTTAATCCGGAGACCCAGATAACGTTCTGGGGACCCAGGTTCAAATCTGGCCATGGTATATGGTGGAATTTGATTTCAATAAAAATCTGGAATTAAGAGCCTAATGATGACCATGAATCCATCGCCAATTATTGGAAAAATCCCATCTGGTCCACTAATGTCCTTTAGTGAAGGAA